ATAGACATCTTCTATAAATATATATATATATATATATATTATACATATATTGTGTGCACCCAGTGCAGGTATGCAGGGGGAGCCATGGAAGCCCTCTGTGGGTAAACAGGGGAAGACTAATTGCGGATAAGTAGAGTTAGCCCTCTCTATGAGTGGAAAATCATTGTAATCTATTTGATAGGTAGTAGAGAAGTTTATCTGGATCCTGAGAGGTCTTGTAGTTTTTCTGGATGGATTTTCCATCTAAATCTTGTCTCCATTGCTTACTGTCGTCTTCATTGCTTATTGTCTCCTTTGCTGTATGTGTATGTATGTTCATAATTGTTAGTGTTTATTCCATGTGTGATTGTGTGCTGTGTGTGTAAGTTACTGGGACCTAACAACCTATGCGCTTGTGAAAATGCAAAGGGTCATTCTTTTATAGTTTTAAATGCAAATATTTTTATTTTTAAGACTTAAATTTTAAATGTAAAACCCCAAATTTTTGGAAAATTAAATTTTAATTTAATAGTGGAGGAGATAATTGAAAGAATCAGGACAATTGGGGGTGTGAGTGAAATAAATGGAACTTCTAGGGGTCTGAACAAAATAAATTAAAGTCATCAGGGACCAATTTGCATGAGAACTAGAATCTGGGACTTAATTACAAAATCTAGAAAATTTTTATTGAAACCGTTTGTAACGGATGAATCCGCGACAATTACTCATCAAAATTCAATTTATTCGAACATTTTTCGAATCAAAATCCTTTCATAATCGGATGCGAGGGATAAGGAGAAATAAGAACCCTCGACCAATTTTCCGACACTCGGTCTCTAAGTTATTCAATTTTACAGATTTCTGGTTGTTGTCCGTCCGCCATTACCGAGTTAGTCAAGCTTGTTTCTCCCAAATTAAACCAGTTATTAGTCAATTAATCCCTTGGTCACTGTCGCCTTACCATTCCGAGCAACTTGGGAGACAAATTGCAAGAAACAATTTGAGGTAAGATTCAAATGTTTGAGTTTAATGTCTCGGCAGTTTCAGGTAAGAAGCGGGTCAAGAGGAAGGGACCCGGTTCCCTTACAGGTCTGGCCATATTGGGTTGGCCCATATGATGGGCTTGATTGTTTTTTTATTTTTTGTTTGTTTTGCTGTGTTGCTGGGCATTTGGCCACTGATTTATTCTCATGGCTGATTGACATAGTTGCAGATTTTTGCTGATTGCTTTTCCTCCAAACCAACAGTGACCACTAGCTAAGCCGACACCGACTGCAAACCAAAAACTAAAACAAAGCAAATGGAACAAGTTGAGGTATATTAAATTATGGATTTTAAATTTGAAAATAGATGCTTGAAAATCTGGACGGGGTATTGATAAAGTGATTAAATATGGGTTTGGGGTTTCTGATGATTGAAAGGCAATTGGGTTGGAAAAAAAAAAAAAAAAGAGTTCCTGTTTCAAGTTAAAGTAAGGGTCCAGCTGCGGGTTTGTTAATTTAAAATCTTGAATTAATATGGGCTTTGGAATTTGATGTGAATTTTTATGATTGGACCAAATGGATCTAAACTTGGGTTTTAGATTGGGAATAGTTCTTGGATTTGGATTTTCTAAACCCAATGGGTTCCGGCTTCTTGGTAATGGGTTGGAGTTTTGTTGGGCCATGGATTGGCCCATCTGTAACAAGGATGGGTTATTTTGTTTTGTTTGGGCAGGCTAGAAAATTGTTTTTGGGTTGTGGGTTATGGGTTTGGAGTAGGATCTAGATCTGAGATCCAGATCCATATATCAGAAATTAATTAAATAACTAGAAAATTTCTAAAAATAGAAAAATGGTCGGTTCAACCTTCTAGTGACCGGTTCAAGTCCGGTTTAGTACTTTAATGTTTGATTTAAAGGATAATTAGACAAGTTATTATTTTATAAACCCGGTTCAAGGATTTAAGACTTCGAATGTGAATTATGCGATCGGTTCAGGACTTTAAGAATTCTCAATGTGAGATTGAACACGAAAACCTAAGAGAATAGTACTGCTCTAATGGAAATTTGAATTTAAGTAAACTATGAGACGAGTTATATTCCGAAATAAAACTTTTTATTATTCTAGATTGAGTGATCGATTCTTGTGAAGCCGAAGTTTTGAAGTTCAGGTTTCACGACTCTCCAGTGTCTATAAGTAGTAATACGTATTTATATGCCCCATTGTTTACTACATTTGTTAAATGATGAGTTTTTGCATAAATTGTTTATAAATTCAATTATTTCAAATTGAAATTTTATATGTTATAAAAAGCTTACAATGGACGTATATGGCATTTTCTGATTTGTTTGGAAATTTCCTGAACTGCTGAATTCTGCTATGTTTAAAATATTGAAATTCTTAAAACTGATTCCTATTTTGTTACAGTGAACCGCGAGTTGCCGTCCTGTTTCTGTCTGATATGTTAAGCCTGTTTGAGATCAGCGAGGATTGTGGTAAGCAGGGATGGTGGTTTTATTCCCGCCTGTGAGTCGCACTCGTATTCTCGCCTGTTATATGTGTATATGTGTATCTGGGCACCAAGGATGCCATCTCCTGATTTCTGTTAACAACTGAATAAGTGTAATTCTGTTTCAAACATTATAAGCTTATAATCTTAAAGATTATGTTTTGTGATCAAAATATTTGATATATGTATGTCTCTTGTCATGTAAATACGCGTTACTATTCACTGAATCGTCAGACTCACCCCTTAATTTTTTCCAGACTCAGGTTCGTACTTCCGACTGATTCTGCTATGTGAGAAGAGTTGTTGATCTCGATCTGTGGTTCCAACGAATAGTGTTCCTTCCTATTGTGTTAATTGTTTTAGTTAGCATAGACGGAAATTGAGTTTAAAGATTTTTTTTTTGACGTTAATGATTGTATTTGATTTTCGAAAGTTTGTATCAAACTGTGGGTATTGTATCAAGTTAAGTTATTTTGTTCTGTTATAGTTCTGAATATTTGAGACTTGCGAGGTTGGGACTATCCTAACCCTAGCATCAGTTACGGATCTGACTTTTCGGATCGTGACATTAAAAATACTATTTTTTTAAATTATACTTTAAGATCACGTGTTCTTAAAAGTGAAACATATATTTTTATAACTGAATACACTTTCAAAGTTGTGTTAAATTTCAAAAATATGTACTTTACTTCTATTAAAAGAATATTCCTTTCTCTTATTCATTGTCTTTTACAAGCACAACTTATGTGTGTATATATACATTCACTCACATATCTATATATACATACATATATATGTATATATGCACGTACATAGACACATATATAGATATTTGGATGCATAAATACACACACATGCATAGGTTTTAATCTTTCATATTTTAAATTTGTCACTTTAATCTCTACATTAATTTTAAAATTGATTTTCACATTCATATCAACTTCCAACATACTAATTTTTTCACATAAATTTTGCTTCAATAAAATAAAATATAAACGAACAAAATTTCAAAAACTATTACCTTAAAGACATATACGACACATGCCAAAATGCTTTATTTGTGTTTAAAATATCATGCCTTAAAAAGGTATATTTTAGTTTTACAAACATATGTTTTTCATATAGTAAAAGAACGTTTCCTTAAAATTCACCCAGCCAAAAACAGGGTAAAAATAGGAATATCAAGTTTTTATAAAAATAAAAAATTATACTATAAATCAAATGGGAAGTAAATTTTATTAGAAATAATTATAAAATTAACATAAAAAGCTACGAAGTTTCACATGCACCAATCGATTACTTAACTTGAGACACAAGATTTAATTAACACTAAATAAACCAAGGATATATATATATATATATATATATCAAGGTGAGAAATTGATGAGTAAAATTTATTTTTGGCAAATTGTTGGTACGGCCATAAGTGGGATTGCCCTCTGCAACGTCAGGCCAAAGATATCATTCATGTCCAGCTTCTCTGGTGTCAATCCATAGGGAGATTCCAGTCAAAGTGATAAACAAGCGAAGCCACCATCAAACTCACAACCCTATGAGCAAGGGGAATTCCCGGGCACATTCGCCGGCCAGAACCAAAAGGAAGGAAGGAAGGAAAAATGCTGACCCTTAAAGTCCAATTTAGAGTTCAAAAACCTCTCGGGCTTAAAAACAGTTGGCACTTCCCAATATTTAGGGTCGCGAGCAATGGCCCAGCATTTACTATTGTTTGAGTGTTCTTCGGTAGCACATAACTGTTCAGCTCTACCTCTGTCTCTGTTTTGTGAGGGACGAGAAGTGGCACGGTGAGGTGCAACCTCATTGCTTCTTTTATTACAGCCTGTAAGGAGGGCAATTCCAGTACGTCTGATTCTTCTATTCTTCCTTCATCTCCACCTTTTTTTTAATTTCCTCGCGCACCGTTGCCATAATATTCGGATTGAGTATTAGTTCTGTCATCACCCATTCAGTGGTAATTGAACTTGTTTCTGTACCTCCAAGTAGCAACTCCTGCACAAATTAAAGATTTTTCGTCAATATTAATTTGTGTTTTCAGTTGATTCTTTTGTATAATAGAAAATTCGAAGTAAATAATCACGAGGCTAATCCAAAATGAGTTGTTTAACTATAAACCCACATCATATATTAAAGTTATTAAGATATTACATATTACATTTTACATTAGTTATATATTTATTCATGTTATAACTTATACACTTTTAGTGAATTTCGCTTACTGAATAAGAAAGTAGAGGATAAATTACAAAAACCCATTAATAAAACAACTGGAATCAAAATATTTATCTTTTAAAATATTTTTTACAAATTATATGTTAAACTTTATATATATAATTGGAGAACATAATAATATATTTCATTTAACAATTTTTTTTTCCATCTTGATTTTTAAATTATTTTTTCCTCTAATATGACTCATTATGACAGGAATAAGTGATAGTCAGTATGTTCTATTACTATTAAATGCAAGTAGAAAATAAATAGCCATATCATTTATATAATCACATATGTCATGCTTAGAGAAAGTTAATATGTCGTTTGGTAAAAATTAAAGACATAACTCTATGGCAGATATGCAGGGAAATACATACCACTAGAAGAACCTTGACACTTTCATAGTTGAGCTCAAGCTCTTCCTGAACATAATCAAGAAGAGAATCTAACATATCCCCATGTCTGGCTATCTTAAGCTTCCTGTGCTGCAGCCTCTTCGTGACAAACTCGTTAGAAACAGAATTAAGCCAGTTGTAAGCAACTTTCGTTCTCCGCCTCAATCCCTGAGGATCTAGAGGTTTCAGCCAAGGGAAAACATCAGCAATATTAAACTGCCCGACGACGAACATGACCGTCTTCACGGCATTCAAGAACCCCTGAGCTTCGCCGGAGTTGTAATCGGCCACGTTCATGGAAAAGCACGTGTTAGCCATTTGGTTCATTGCCGTAATAAAGGCTAACTTTCCAATATCCACAGCTTCTCCGGTCTCGCTCATCTTTGTTACATGTTGAACCATCTCTTGCATCGCCTTGTGGCGAAGCCCGACTAGAGTGTCCAGCTTCTTTTGGTGCAGCAAAAAAGTGCTGAGAGATCTCGCCGGATTAAGCGTGACTGATCTCCAGCGGGCATCCAGACCAGGCTCAGGTCGTAGTTTTGGACTTTGGTGATGGTGTCAGACATGACCCGACCCGAGAAGGCCTCGTCGTGCTTTTGCAAGACTTGCTGAGCCATTTCCGGGGACGAAGCTACGACCAGGGTTTTGCTGCCGAGACGAACTGTCATGAGAGGACCGTACTTCTTGGCCAAATTTGCTAGTGATTGGTGTGGCTTTGTACCAATTTCAAAGAGGTTTCCGACCCGAGGGAGGCCAATGGGTCCTGGGGGGAGTTTTCTCCGGCGAAATAAGCGGAGGCCAAAGATCAGGGCTGAGAAAAGCAAGGTAAATTGGAAGAGGTTGAGAAACTCCATGGAAGATTGATAGAATGAAAGTCTACAGCTCAGGAATTAATTTCTGGCTCAACTCGATCTCCACTACTTAAAGAGAGATATAGTGTATGAAATTTAAATTATTTGATGGTTTAAATATTTTTAAAGAATCATGTAGGTACATATATAATTTTTAAATTTTTTTTGGGTTATGCCCTTTTAAGTTACAAAAAAAAAATTCCCATTTGAATGCGGACATGGATTCTTCCATTTTTAGGTTGAAATTAATAAAATTTGAAGCATCAATAATTTTTATGCACGCTATTGTTAATAAAAAATTAAATATAATTATTTCATATAATGACAGAAAAAAATTATGATTTATTTATATTATTATAAATAGTGAACGCTAGTGGTGTTCATTAGAAAAAACCAAACCAACTAAATCGAATAAATCAAATCAAATAATGGTTTGATTCAATTTTATATAGATCACGACTTGGTTTGGTTCAGTTTATACTAAATTTTTTTCTTACAATTTGGTTTGCAATTTAACCACTAAATCGAATCATATAAAGTAAACCAAATTGTAAAGTATGTTTAGATTTGCAATTTATCTTTCAATTTTTTTCTCTTTTTATTCTAGTTTCTCTATTTTTTTTTCCTATCATTTCAGTCATCAGTCTCATTTCTTTTCAAACTTTCAATTTTTCTAAATAATCTTTAATTTAAGTTATTACATACCAGATATTTGTGTTTGATTATTAAATTTATTGAATTTTTTAGTTGTCATTCTTTTCAATTATTAAATTTAATTAATTTTTGTACAAGTTTACAATTATGTAAGAGTAGAGAGTTTAGTAAAACATTTCATGAATTAATTTATAAATTATAATTTTAAATTGAACTAAATCGTAAATTATAATTTAGTTTGATTTGATACTTAAAAATTTTTGATTTAATTTAATTTTTAAAAATTATAAATTATAAATATTATTTATTTGAAAAGTAATCTCAAACTGAACAACTGACACCGTAGTGAGCGCATCTGGTTGATGAAGGCAAATCCAAAGGTGAACACTCCGGTGCCCTCCCCAAAGGGAGGGCACCGAACAATCCCCCCCTTCTGTGAGGGGGGGGAAGGGGGACTCGGCAGTGGCCCCCTCACAATGCAGGGGCCCCGGCAGTGGGGCCCACCCCTTGTGAGAGGGGTGGGCACCGGTGCCCTCCCTTTGGGGAGGCACAGTAGAATTTGCCAATCCAAAATGCACTTGGAGTCTTTTTTTTTTTCTTTACTTTTTATATTCTTTTATTATAAAAAAATATATGCTTTAGAGGCTAAGGCAATAAACACCTTTTATAAATACATCTATTATACATATGTTGTATGCACCCAGTGCAAGTGTGTGGGGGAGCCATGGAAGCCCTCTGCAAGCAAACAGAGGAAGACTAATTGTGGATAAATAGAGTCAGCCCTCTCTATGAGAGGAAAACTATTGTAATCTTTTTGATATGCAAATAAAAAAGTTTATCTGGATCTTGAGAGATCATGTGATTTTTCTGGATGAATTTTCCATTTAAATCCCGTTTCCATTGCTTACTGTCTCCTTTGCTATGTGTGTATGTGTATTCATCTTTGCTAGTGTTTATTCCATGTGTGATTGTGTGCTGTGTGTGTAAACTACCTGGGCCAAACAATCCACGCACTTGTAGAAATGTAAGGAGTTGTTCTTTACAGTTTTAAATACAAATATCTCTATTTTTAAGACCTAAATTTTAAAAATATTACTTTTTAAAATTATACATTAAAAGTACATATTTCAGAAAGTGGAATATAGGTTCTTGAAATTGAATACGCCTCTAAAATTATACTTAGTTTTAAAAGCATTTACTTTACTTCTATTAAAAAAATTATTTCTTTATCTCATTTACTATCTTTTACAAATGCAACTTATGTCTGTATATATTCACTCACTCACATACCTATATATACATACATATATATGTATATGTGCATGTGCACAGACATATGGATATTTGTATGCATAAAGACACACATGCATAGATTTTAGTCCTTCATATTTTTAAATTTGTCACTTTAGTTTCTATATTAATTTCTTAATTTATTCTCACATTCATATCTACTTCCAACATACTATTTTTTTTATATGAGCTCTTGTTTCAAAAATAATATATAAGGGAACAAAGTTTCAAAAAATATCACCTTAAAAATATATACAACATATGCCAAAATGTTTCATTTGTGTTTAAAATATCATGCCTCAAATATATATTTCAGTTTTACAAATATATATTTTTGATATCTTAAAAGAATGACCCCTTAAAATTCACCCAGCCGGAAAGAGGGAAAAAAATGGGAATATCAAGTTTTTATAAAAATAAAAAATTATACTATAAATCAAATAGGAAGTACATTTTATTAGAAATAATTGAAAAATCAACATAAAAACCTACGAAGTTTCACATGCATCAATCGATTATTTTACTTGAGACACAAGATTTAATTAATACTAAATGAACTACGGATACACACACACACACACATTGATCAAGGTGAGAAATTGATGAGTGAAATTTATTTTTGGCAAATTGTTGGTACGGCCATAAGTGGGATTGCCCTCTGCAACGTCAGGCCAAAGATATCATTCATGTCCAGCTCCTCTGCTGTCAATCCACCAGGGAGATTCCAGTCAAAGTGATAAACAAGCGAAGCCACCATCAAACTCACAACCCTATGAGCAAGGGGAATTCCCGGCACATTCGCCGGCCAGAACCAAAAGGAAGGAAGGAAAAATGCTGCCCCTTGAAGTCCAATTTAGAGTTTAAGAACCTATCTGGCTTAAAAACAGTTGGCTCTTCCCAATATTTAGAGTCGCGAGCAATGGCCCAAGCATTTACTATTGTTTGAGTGTTCTTCGGTATTACATAACCTTTCAGCTCCACCTCTGTCTCTGTTTTGTGAGGGACGAGAAGCGGCACGGTGAGGTGCAACCTCATTGTTTCTTTTATTACAGCCTGTAAGTAGGGCAATTCGAGTACGTCTGATTCTTCTATTCTTCCTTTATCTCCCACCTTTTTCTTAATTTCCTCGTGCACCGTTGCCATTATATTTGGATTGAGTATTAGTTCTGTCATCACCCATTCAGTGGTAATTGAACTTGTTTCTGTGCCTCCAAGTAGCAACTCCTGCGCAAATTAAAGATTTTTCGTCAATATTAATTTGTGTTTTCAGTTGATTTTTTTATATAATAGAAAATTAGAAATAGATAATCATAAGGCTAATCCAAATGAGTTGTTTAACTATAAACCCCACATCATATATTAAAGTTATTAAAATATTACATCTTACATTAGTTATATATTTATTTATGTTATAACTTATACACTTTTAGTGAATTTCGCTTGTTGAATAAGAAAATAGATGATAAATTACAAAAACCCATTAATAAAACAACTGGAATCAAAATTTTATCTTTTAAAATATTTTTTACAATTATGTGTTAAACTTTATATATATAATTGGAGAACATAATAATATATTTCATTTAACAATTTTTTTTCATCTTGATTTTTAAATTATTTTTTTCCGCTAATATGACTCATTATGACAAGAATAAGTGATAGTCAGTATGTACTATTGCTATTAAATGCAAGTAGAAAATAAATAGCTATATCATTTATATAATCACATATGTCATGCTTAGAGAAAGTTAATATGTCGTTTGGTAAAAATTCAAGACATAACTCTATGGGAGACATGCAGAGAGAATACATACCACTAGAAGAACCTTGACACATTCATAGTTGAGCTCAGGCTCTTCCTGAACGCAATCAAGAAGAGAATCTAGCATATCCCCGTGTCTGGCTATCTTAAGCTTCCTGTGTTGCAGCCTCTTCGTGACAAACTCGTTAGAAACAGAATTAAGCCAGTTGTAAGCAACTTTCGCTCTCCGCTTCAATCCCTGAGGATCTAGAGTTTCAGCCAAGGGAAAACATCAGCAATATTAAACTGCCCGACGACGAACATGACCGTCTTCACGGCATTCAAGAACCCCTGAGCTTCGCCGGAGTTGTAATCGGCCACGTTCATGGAAAAGCACGTGTTAGCCATTTGGTTCAGTGCCGTAATAAAGGCTAACTTTCCAATATCCACAGCTTCTCCGGTCTCGCTCATCTTTGTTACATGTTGAACCATCTCTTGCATCGCCTTGTGGCGAAGCCCGACTAGAGTGTCCAGCTTCTTTGGGTGCAGCAAAAAAGTGCTGAGAGCTCGCCGGATTAAGCGTGACTGATCTCCGGCGGGCATCCAGACCAGGTTCAGGTCGTAGTTTTGGACTTTGGTGATGGTGTCAGATATGACCCGACCCGAGAAGGCCTCGTCGTGCTTTTGCAAGACTTGCTGAGCCATTTCCGGGGACGAAGCTACGACCAGGGTTTTGCTGCCGAGACGAACTGTCATGAGAGGACCGTACTTCTTGGCCAAATTTGCTAGTGATTGGTGTGGCTTTGTACCAATTTCAAAGAGGTTTCCGACCAGAGGGAGGCCAATGGGTCCTGGGGGGAGTTTTCTCCGGCGAAATAAGCGAAGGCCAAAGACCAGGGCTGAGAAAAGCAAGATAAATTGGAAGAGGTTGAGAAACTCCATGGAAGATTGATAGAATGGAAGTCCACAGCTCAGGAATTAATTTCTGGCTCAACTCGATCTCCACTACTTGAGAGATATAGTGTATGATATTAGGCCATAAATAGGGCTGGAAGGCAGTGGTCATCGTTACCTACCCATTTAATTGTCACGTTCATTTCCTTGCCATCAGCTTGTAGATTCATTATTGGAAACTTCATTTGTTACTTTTTCATTTTTCACATAGGCTGCTTGATGCCTCGTGGCATTGCAATTCGACCGCAAGCTTGTGTTACTCGTGGAGATTATGTAACCAGAAGAGATATTAACGATTAAGAATTTCTATTTTTTTATATAAAAAATAGAGATTAAATTCTAAAATTTTAATCAAGAGTTTTAAAAATGTATTAAATTAAAATTAAAATTCATAAACCCTGTTTAATTACTAATCCCGGCCAAGTTAGAATAAACTTGGTAGCCAAACCCTTTCTGGTAGGGGTGTACAAATTATAATTTTGGTTTGGTTTTTGATATTTTGGTTTGGTTTTTTAGTTTTTTTGTTTTAATACTTTTAAAACCAAACCAAACTAATTTAATTATAAACAAAACCTAAAATTTTGGTTCAATTTGGTTTGGTTTGGTTTAGTTTTAAGTTTGATTTTTTATTAATTAAAAAAATTTAAATAAATTATTTATTTAATTTTTTATTATTAAATATACATGTATATGCATGCATATGTATGTGTGTGTACATATATTTGTATATACATACATATATATATACACACATAACATATATATGTATATATTCATGTATATATATAAATTTATTCATATAAATATAAAAATATATATGTATACGTGCACATGTAGCCCTGTTCACGGTTCTAGTCCGGACTGTGGACCAGCCTAGACCGGACTGGGAAAAAACCAAATCGGACTGGACCAGAAATATCCGATTCGGTCCGGTCCGATTCTGAATTGTGAAGGTTCACAGTCTAATTACGATTCAGGTTTTTTTAAATCGGAACCGAAACTGGGAATTAACCGTGAAAGTGAATCGTGAACCAGAACTGTATATGAACCGTGAACCGAATCGTGAATGAACAGCAAACGAACCGGAAATGAACCAAACTATGAATGAACCGTGAATGAACCGAACCGTATATGCATAAATATGTAAATACATATATTTATGCATTAATGTATGTATATATACATGTGTGTGTGTACACATAAACATACATACACACACATAACATATATATTTATGTATGTATATATGTATGTATAAATACATATGTGTGCATGTACACGCGCGCGCGCACACACACACACACACACATAGGTATATACATACATGCATAAATATATAAATATATACATTTACGTATTTATGTGTGTATATATATACAAGTGTGTGTACACACTTACACATATATTCTTATATGCGCACACATGTATATATATATGTATACATATATATGTATTTATATATTTATATACAATATAAATACATGTACACGTACATATATTTATATTTGTATAGGTATATAAAATTTATATGTATGTATGTATGTTTGTGTGTGTACGTACACATATAAGTATATATATGTATATATATACATGTATATATATGTATGTCCTTATATATATATGTATCTATATATAAATATATAAATACATATATATTTATATTTGTATGAGTAGATAAATTTTATATATATATGTATGTATACATGTATGTACATCTATGTGTGTGTATGTACATACAAATATAAGTATATATATATGTATATATAGATATATAAATATATAGTTATATAAATATACGTAAGTGTGTGTATATATTAATATTTTTTATAAAGAATTTTTAAAATTTTGGTTTTTGGTTTAAATTGGTTTGGTTTGATTTTAAACCAAATCAAACCATAATTTTAGATTATTTTTCTAAACCAAACCAAAACAAACTAAATTTAAAAAAAAAAAACCTAACAAAATTTTAAAATTTAATTTAATTTGGTTTGATTTGGCTAATTGGTTTGGTTTTGCACGCCCCTACTTTCTGGCCTCTCTTCCCCCAACCCACGTTTAGTTTATGGGGTGGAGGTTTAGCGTAATCCCCAACTTTATGTTTCATTCAAATTGTAAAATCATCCTTGTGATTTCAAATTTTAACAATTTCATTCTTTTAACAAATTTTGACAATATATTCAGACCAATAAAAGGGTATTTCAGTTCTTAACCATATAATAAATAAATTAAATAAAAAATAGTCTCACAATTTTTTTTCTTATTATTTTCAACCAAACATTGACAAGTTTTCTTTTGTTTCCTTCCCTTATTGCAAATTAATTTGTTTGCAAATAAAGTTAGAGTGAGCGTTAGTGTTTGTTATTAGATTGATTATATTTTAATATGTGTTGAATTTGCAAATAAATAAAAATATTTAAATTTTTATTAGAACTAATTATTCAGTATAGTTTTTAAAATATAAGTGTTGAAATTTTAAATTATCAATACTATATTATATTCATATTAAACTTTTCTTATATTAAAAGTTAACATTTATTTAATTTGTAAATAAATCAAACTTTAGATGTGATATACACAACAGTTGATTATTTATGTCACACTTAAAATTTGGTATATTTAAAAATTAAATAAATATCAACATTTTATATAATAATTTTAATAATCTCAAATTTTATTAAATCAATAATCAAATTAGAACAATTAATTTTAAGATTGTCAAATCGTTCTGGTCCAAAATCAATTTAGTTAAGTTGGATATAGAGCTCAAATTGAAACTTCATTTTAGTTTCTATTTTGGTTTTTGATAAAGCTAACTAAAACCAAATTCAAATAATCAAAAATATTTCCAACCAATTGAAAATTTTGACTACTATGATTTAAGAATTATAGTACAGAATAAAATTTTAATATGAATAAATATGGAATGACATGATTTTAAAATAATTTATTAATTTTATAAATTAATTATAGTTTTAATAAAATTTGAAATATATTAATTTAGTTAAAAAATAATCAATATAATAATAAACACTAATACTTATTCTAACTATATCTCCAAACAAATTAATTTGTAATTAAAAGGGATAGAAATAAAAAAAAAGTTATCAACACTTGGTTGAGAACAATAACAGAAAAATTATTGTGCCATTTTTTGTTTTATTTAATTATTACATGTTTAAAAACTAAATCACCCTTCTATTAGCTAGAATATGTTGCCAGAATTTGCTAGAATGATGGAACTGCTAAAATTTAAAAGCACAAAGATGATTTTGCAATTAAAATGAAACGCGATAGGTAAAAATAAATTTTTTCCATGACTGGGTTTTGTTCGGCCAAAGTCCTCCACCACCAACCCCACATTTTAGTTAATCAAGCATAGGTTGGGCATGCTTCCATCCCATATCTGGCCAAAATCCTCTCATCAACCAACCAAATAACAATAATAATAATAACAACAACAACAATAATAATAAATTAATTAATAAAAAAATATTTTTTAAATAAATTAGATATTTATTATTTATAATCTACTTTCACCAAAAATAAAAAAATTATTTTATTTAAATCTATTTTTTCAACTCTGTGATGTTGTTGGATTTGCCATTTTATTAATAGACTGGCTTTTTTATGTTAAACCAAAATTCATATTTAAATGCATGAATAAGAGAAAGATATTTTATTTTATTATTTTTCTATTTTTACGTGGAGCCTTGTTAGAATACGGAATAAAAAAAGAACATAAAAAGAGCTATACAAACAAGGTTAATTTTTCTAACCAAGCAATTCAAACCTATTTTTCAACTTAAACCTAACTCCCTTTATTACAAAGGGGTGTTTGTAAATATTTTTGTAAAATAAAAAGTTAAAATTTTAAGTAGAAGTGAATAAATATTGATTATAATTAAAAGTAAAGTATATTTGTAAAATATATTAAAATTTTTTGAAAATAATAAAATAAATGTTTAGAAAATAAATGGTAGAGTTGCTAGCGTAGAAGTTTGGATTAAAAAGACATAAATGACCAAGCCTCTCTCTCTTCTTTATTGTTTTCTTCCTCCCTTTCCGGTTACAGACTCACAGTGGTTGGGCATGACTGTCTCTGGAGATCTAGGGGACGATTAGGCATGGCTATTAGCGGGATGGTCTTCTCTTTGCACCTTCAATAGTGATTTGGGAATGGTCGGGCATGGCTATCTAACATGGCTATTAGAATCAGAGGTTCTGCTACTGCTGGGATATGCAGGTGATCGAGCATGGTGGATTTTGTAGTGGTAGCTGTCAGATTTGACGACAAAGGTGCAGGGGAGGGGGAGATCGGCGACAATGTTGCAAAGATGGGTGGTATGGTGATTTGGCTGGACAAGCACTGCAAAGATGAACATGATGGCAAGCCTAGCAAACATTTGTCGTTGTGAAGCCACAGCGTAATTGTAGGGGTGCCTTTGCCATTGACCATTGGAGATTGAAAGTAAGAGCGCATAGAGAGAGGGCAGATCCAAAGAGGAGAGGAGAGAGAGGGAGAAGGTAGGGATATTTTAGAAATTAGAAAAAATATTTTAAGGCAAAATTGTTAAACAACACTTTAAGTAGCTTTTATATTATTACAAAAAAAGTTATTAAAATTAAAAACAATCATTTCTTTTAACTTCAAAATTTAACTTTTGTTAGTTTAAATTTAAAAATTTTAAATTTAAAAATATTTTTACAAATATCATAAAATAATTTTTAATGATTAAAAAGCTCTAAAATTAGAGTAGCCATTGCAAACACAGAAGTCTTGCGTTCACGTTATATTTGTTAGGGTTCACAATGCTTTGATGTCACTTGTTGGGACAAGCACACCCACAAAATAAAAATACACTCACAGTAAATTTAGGAGGGAGTAAAATATAGACACTAAAATTTACGTGAAAAACCCAAATTGGGAAAAATCACAGATCAAAATAAGCAAAATATCACTACTATAGGTAGGAATTTTTATACAGAAC